AGCCCTTCACTGCATCTTGCTGGAATGGACAGTTAAACCCATGTCAGCTTATTCTCAGTGAAAGGCTGAAGTAGCACATAATGGGCCTACTTTCCCTTTAAGTTCTGTATCTTTATCAAAGAATGTTCTCCCTGTCAGCACAAAATAAGTTAAAAGAATAATCCCACACAGAATAGTTTCTGGAAAGTATGATGCCAAATACCTGACTCAGTTCTTCCCGTTACTAAGCTAAGGTATTGCTGCTTTGACATACCTGAGTCCGACACAGCAAATGGGGGAAAAGGCACAGTTACAAATTAGTGTTTTATTTTTAGGATAAGGAAAGAGGATTTTCTTCTTGTCCTACCTCCATGCACACAGAAGTGCATGGAAAGGAGGATTTTCTTCTTGTCCTAGCTCCATGCACACAAAAGTGCAGCTGATATAGAAGAGTTAGTGGATCTCAGCTCTCTTTGTCCTATTTTCCTTATTTCTGTGCAAATACTGCAACTCAAATATCAACTTTTACAGCAGTTATTTACTGTTACAGAATGACTAAAATGTGATTTTATTTAAAATATTGTGACTAGAAACTCAATTTCCAGCATCAATATAGGGAATAATTCTGGAACAAGAGTTTCAGCCAAACTTTGCCTTAGTAAAAAGTTTTTTTCTAAAGAGAAAAGCAAGCACTCCTGGCATAAAAATGGTCATTGAATTTCAGAACAATGAAAAAAACCAAACCAAAAAACAAACAAGTATGAGTGAGGTGTTTCTAAGCAAGTGGCACAGCAGTCAGGGAGAAGAGCTCTCCCTTTACAGATTAATGTAACATAGAATATTTGCTTTCTGTTAAATCATAATACCAGTATCATCTGAAAAGCATCTTTGTTATTCACCACTTAACAGAATAAAGTTAGAAAAAAATTAGAGAATAACTCTGGAAGAACAGTATTATTTCAGCTACAGACTGCAATTTCTCCTTCATGATTAAGGTTGCACTGTAGACATGAAGAATTTTTATCTGTGTGTCTCTAACAAAACAGTGCTTTCCTTCATGCCAGCAAATAGTAACTAAAAAGCTGCTTTAAGAAGGCATCTTGCTTCTTGTATTTATACAGTCCAGCACAGCCTTCAGCAACACATAGTTTATGTTTCCCTTTTGAAAAATCTGCTGCCAAAAGCTGCAGTAGTGGCAAGTGATCTTCATTACCTGCTTCACAGAACTTAAACCTGGCCTTGCTCTCATTTATGATCCAACACTAGTTTTAAAGACCATGAAAAAGAAATCTAAATATCTCAAGCTCTTTCCAGGATCACAGGGGTTACATTTTACATTAAAAAAAAAAAAATCAGCACTCTAAACAAATATGAAAATACAGACAGGTAGCCACGATTCTTTCTTAAAAGTCATAGAAATAAGGAATATACTGTGATCACTACTAAACACATTTGGACAACAGAGGCATACTGCCCATTTTTGTGAACACCCATAGCACCTCGCCACTTCAGCCACTGGATAGTACTGGTTTTGGTTTAGACTTCAGTCAGAAATCCCTGAGTATTCAGTAGTCTACCTTTGGGGCAGTTTTAAGATGAGCAAGACTAGGTATAGATGTTTTTAAAGATTTATAGAGGTGCTATGCAAAACTATAAAGCTACTCAGTTGCAAGTAGTTTTATATTTGAAAAAATAAAGTACATAATCCTATATCAGATTGCTATTCCTCTCTTGTTACATCTTACTCAAAAGCCTGAAACCCATGAGCAAACTGCTATCAATTTTTGTATACAGGTACATTTCTAATGTTTAACATCAAAGTCATATACTCATTATGAGTCACTCTACTATCTATTTTAACAAAATCCTTATATTTCATTAACAGGAAGAGACACCAGGAAAAAGTATTTAATAGACTTTTCCATTAATATGGAAAAAAGCCACCTTGAATTAATAATTTAAAAGTTCTTTACTGGTGAAAAAAGTTTCATCCTATGGAAAACCAATACTTTGTTTCAGAGTCTGCTCTTTAAAACAGACCAACACCATATGTCCCCTCAAATTGCTGTTACACACTAGTTACAATTAAACAAGTATTTTATCTAACACAAATCAAAATTACTCACTTGTCCAGAAAGATAACAATGACACTAATTACATAGAAGCTAGGAATAGAAGGGAGGATAGCTAGCTCAGAGATGACAGAAAGGAGGAGGGTTTGGTTATAGTCACTGATTTTCCTCCACACCCTCCTCCAGAGGAATCAAATCTGCAGTCTGGGATAAGCCCTGCTTCCGCTGCCTCCCAGATTTCACCTCCCATCTACCATTACAGGCAACTCCCAAGTATTATTAAAGCAGCCTTCACTGTTCCAGACCCAGACAACACAGAAGGTGCAAGTCCTCCAGGAAGCTGAGGAAAGCAGCCATAAAAAAACCCAGAAGTGACTTAATTACTGTTCAACAGGCAGCCAATAAGGGCAGAAATGAAACAGCTGAAGTAACCAAACAAAGCTTATCAGGGAACGTTTTTAGAAACTCTTTCATGAGGACTGTTTCTGTTACTATCCTCCCTTGGGCAATTCTGCAACACAGAAACACAAGCCTGGCTGGCTACAGGCTCAGGTTAGAAGGTCCCTAAATTTGTAAAAAGTTAGCTTGCTAAAAAAAAACCCAAACCAAACAAACCCACGTTAAACTAACTGTCTCAACAGTTTTGGAGAATTAAGTCATGATTCTGAGAACATTGACCTTGTCCTATAACCACCACTATAAAAACAAAATCACAGATTATCAATACTTCATTAAGATTTTGTGAAACAGGACACAAATACTGTCACTGCTACCCAACCTAATAACTTCGGGGCATTTTTTCCCCTAAGTCAGACAGAGCACGTACTGGACCCAGGACCATTGGGGAATCTTTTGCTGTGATTTTTACCCATGCAGAAATCACCAAAGTAGAGCTGGCAACAATAAACATTAACCCTGAGCAGAAAGCCCCATGTGATCCCTCAGGAGCACACCATCAGACTGTTCTATTCAGACATAGTACCACCTCGGCACAATTTACATTTCAGATAACTTTAAAGTGTACTTAAAGAGTATTTTGAAAATATAAGCTTTTATTCATACTAGGACTAATGAAAGGAAATGTGGAAAATTTATTTTTTAAGTTAGAAAACATCAAGGTTTCTAAACTAAACCGTGGGTTTTAAACAGATTATGCAGTGTCACAATGAATGGGCATTCACTGATAGAATGAGATCATTTGTTCTAGTTAAATTTTCCATTTTCCAGGATTCGTTCCTTACTCTGAGTTTACCTGTACAACCTCAGGAAGAAGAGATATACTCCAAGATAGTAACTTGCCAGCTGAAATAAGCCCAAATTACCTCATTTCAAAAGCATGCTATCGTTCTTGTTGCTCCAGACTTAAGGAATTCCATATTTTATTGACAAATTCATCTGAATATTAACAGACTAAAGCACTAGTATTTACTAACTCATTAAAAAAAAAAAGTATTTTATTAGATCACCTCCTGCAATTTCAGATAGTTTGCAAAAAAGTTATTATTGACAGTCTCAAAAAAACAGAAAAAACACCAAAATTTGAAGACAGATAACTGGCATTTAAATTACTTTCAGCAATGCAGAACCAGCACTGTCTCTCTCAAGAAAAAATATTTACATGAAAACAAAAAAGTTAACAAAAATAAAACAAGCATTAGGAGTACTGTGTGTTTATACAACACCAACCAAACGAGACAATAAACTACTGTACTTTATTTTTATATTCCAGTTCCACTTCGTAGCTAAATATGACCCAGTGAACAAAAAGCAGGATTATCTTTTTCCCTGCAACATCCAGATTGTTTTATAACAGGTCTCGTACCTTGCAAGGAGAGTTCAGTTAAAACACATTTACAACCCTGCAGTAAGGCAAATAGTCTGTTTATTCTGATTTAACAACAACAAGAAGTTGTTAGCTGACGGATACAGATCGCAAGCAGCAACGCGCTGGAGCCTGCACTGTTGTGCTGCATTTCTTCCCCAAAACTCTCCGCAGACCATTACCCGTCGGCAGCTCCCACGCATGCATTTGGAGCGGGATTTAGCGGTCACATATCCCCGGACAGCCCGGCTGGCGGACTCACTGCGGGACCCGCCTTCACTCCGCACCTCGTCCCTCGGCGTCTCGCCGGAGCCTTTGTCAAAGGTCTCCCGACTCGCCCCCCCTCCGTGTCCCGGCAGCCCCACGGCCCTCAGCCCGCGCCGCGCCTCGCCCGGCCGTGCCCACATCCCGACCAGCCCATCCCGCCCGCAGCTCTGCCTGCCTTCCTCCCCTTCCCCCACAGACCCCGAAAAGCCCGTCCCCCTTCCCGAGGCGTCCCCGCCCGGGGGCCCTCCCGCCTCGCACCGCGCCCATCCCCGCGGCGTCTGACCCCGCCGACCCCTGACACCCCCTCCCTCCTTCCCTCCCTCTCTCGCCCGCGGCGCCTCCCGCCGCTCCAGTCCGGGCCGGCCCCTCACCGCAATGACGACGGTATCCTCGCCCTGGAACTTGGCGATGTACTTGTCGCCGCGGGCCACTTCGGACTCGTTGAGGGGCCTGAAGCGACACATCACTTTGATGTTACACTCCGCCGGGTCCGCCATCTTAGGCCACCGCCGCCTCCGGGGCGCTCAGCTCCGCCGCCGCCCGCTGCTTGCAGCCGAACCGCCGCGCCGGGGGGGTCTCGCAAGCCGCCGTGGCCGGGAAGCCCGCGCCCGCCCCGGCAGGAGGGAAAAGGGAAGGGCTCCTTCCTGGCCGCCGCCGCCGCCTCCCGCGCTCACTTCCTCCCCAACATGGCCCCGGCCATGGCGGTGCAGCCGCGGTTCCCGCCCCGCCCCGCCGGGGGTGTGTGTCAAGGTGACGTCACCCTCCGCAGCGCCCGCCCCGCCTTGTGCGCAGGCGCGGCACTGCCCCCGGGCTGGTGGGGGCGCTGCCCACGGGGCCGCCGGGGGCGGGCGACAGGGGCGGGGCTCCCTCAGGCGGGCGGGGCTGCGGCGGTGCCGCCCGCGGCCTCTTTCCGTGTGCGGCTGCAGCTGGTATCGTAGAACCGTGGAATTATAGCATTATAGAACCATAGAATTAGAGAATCACAGAATTGTAGAACCGTCAAGGTTGGAAGAGATCTTTAAGATCGTCCAGTCCAGCCGTCCACCCACTAACGACTAAACACCGAACCGCATCACCCGGCGCCAGATCCAGACGCCTCTTAAACACCTCCAGGGATGGTGATTCCACCACTTCCCTGGGCAACCTGGCGCCGCACCAGTTCCCTCCACATAGAGCAGCCACACAGAATTACTGAATCACAAAATCAACTAGGTTGGAAAAGACCTCTGAGATTACTGAGTCCAAGCTCCGACCAACCACACCGCCATGTCAACTATGTCACCATGTCATGGCAGGAAGCGCCATGTCTGGTCTTTGGAGAGATATTGCAACATGGCTCTGCCACCAGCAGAACTCTGAGCAGGGCAGTGCTGGGGAGAGCCAAGCTCTGTATGAGCGACAGAAAACCGAGAGGGTGAGCGTGAAGTAAAAGCTTCAAGTGGGCAGTTGAGAGAAACCTATGATATTTGGAGATTTTTTTTGTTTTTGTTTCTTTTTCCGACTCAGAAAAAGAAAAAATCCACATCTGTGAGGTGTTCAGAGACGTCAGGGAGCTGCCGGTGTTTGCTAAAGTTCCCGTGATCCTTATTGCCTGCTTGTCTCTTGGAGCTGGAAGCCGACGAGTGGGATCAGAGCACATGGCAGCCCACGGCTTTTGGTGTCATCCCCAGGGATGGAGTCTCTCACAACCTCTTCATCCCAATTTACAAAAACAAAGTCTGCACAGTAGTTTTTTTAGGCTTAGTTTATTACAAGTTTTACTAATTTATTACAGTGGATCTAATTTTAATCAGTCAAAACTTACTGACTGTGTCTAGACAAAAATCATCAGGTGAACCATTCTGATAGAGATTTCCAAGAGTCTCATGACTTTATAACTGTGCCTCTTACATCCAGGCATGAACTTTCAGATTGGAACAAAGTACAGACTTGCAGCTTGGCTAAAGTCAGTCAGTTTCCTAACAGAAATCATGACTTGTACTGGAAATTTTTCAAATAGCCTTGAAGTTAATTAAAAAAAAAATAGAAAAAAAATTGAGGAGCCTTTCTCTTAAATTAGTAAATTTTAGTAGGGCAGAATGACTCAAAATAGCAGTGTCCTTCCCTTAAAAGTCTTCTTTTTTCATTAAAAAAAGGGGGAAATATTATGAATTTTAACAGGGACCATCTGTAATCAAGCATCCCCCATTTTCAAGACTTCTCAGTTCAGGGATTTCAATGCTGTGTTTTCACTTAGGATAGATGTGCAAGGCAAACACAGCTTCAAAACTGCTCCACATGACAGAAGAATTACCTAATAATCTAGTTTCATCTATAGGTTCTTTTCACACAGTAATACGAAAAATATTTCTATGCCTAGTTATTCTTATGAGGTAATCTAAGTCTTCTAAATTGAGGTCATGTTGTAACAAGTTTATTTTTCCGCTGTGATTAAAAATGCTGCAGGACTGTGCTGTCTTATGCAGGGCAGCAACAATTACACATCCTTACCTACCAGCAAATGTGGAAATAGTTGTCTGGAAAAGCCAAGATGTAGGCTCAGTCTGTAGAAGGTGCAGTGCTGCTCCACATGATCTAGCATATGAGGTATATATAGATATATATCTACAGTTCTGTTTGTTTGTGTTTTCAATAAGATGTTTTAAACATAATCGTGTCAGAAAGTCTATTTCTGTTGAGTGCTATTTTAACATTTTGTTAAGGAAGAAACCTCATAATGATATGATTCTCAAGAAAACAGATGATTGGGCTTGCTTACCTTTTCAATTTTACATAGCAGACACAAAGACAAGGCAGACACATGCGTAGGAAATTACTCATTGTAATTATGTTGAAACAGAAAATGTCAGCATGTGAACCCTGTAGAAAGGACTGCCCACTGTGAAGCTGTTGGGTCTGTGCAAGCTCCTGGGAGAACTGGCTGATGGTGTCCCATCCTGGCTGTGGGAGCCTTTGCTGAACTGCATCCTCTCAGATCCCTTTCAGGGACTCTGTCATGAAGTTTCTCTTCTCTGATCTGCTGTTCAAAATAGCAACCGTTCCTTGACATGACCTACTTAAGGTCTGACACAACGAAGCAGTGTGCTCAAAGAGGGCAGTGTGTTATCTCTGCTGGCGCCAAGATGTGTCAAAACAGCAGTCTTGAGGATTTGTGTTTAAAGATGCGGTCTCGTGAGACCAGGGCAGAGACCAAACATCCTGGTGAATTTCCCATTTTGTCATAATTACAGAATGTTCTTTCTTTGCTAATTGGGAATATATTTGCTGTCTTCTCTGTTGTTATGTAATGTCTGCAACATACATTTTTTGACACTTAGGATAAAAGACTCTGTTTAAAAGTAATATATTGTAATGAGAAAAAATGGTGTCTCAGTTATCATAAAAAGTGAATCCTTCTGTTTGATGCTTATGCCTAGTATGCTCATGTAAATCAAATACATTTTCTTTATCTAACAAATAAGTTTGGTAAAGTTCCTCAGTAAGGACCAGCATATTTTTTAAAGTAATTTATATAAGGAATTTGTGTTTGTTAGTTCACTAACCATGTTTCTTTCCCTTTATGATCTGTGCAATAAACCTCTACAAATTCTTTTGTGATTTACAACTCCTTTAGATCTCCAGTCTTTCCCAGGAATAAAAGCATGTTAAGCAAAAGGAATCGGCAAACCTGAGCCTTACAGGGAAACTATATCTGGATAATGATGTAATTAACCATCAAAATTGCTCTAGCAGAGCAAAAGTGATCTTGATTTGGTCGTAAAAGAACATTACATATTTGAATAAATCTTTAAGCCAGGTGTTTGTGGAGAAGTGAATTAAAACTGCTTCCTCCTGCCCTTTAAAGAATTAAATTCTGAGATTCATCAGTTGACAGCACTTGTTGACATTCAGTGTGCCTAAGGCAAACACAAGTGCTCTTCTCATTTTAATTTGCAATGTGCTGGGAAAATATAGCGCATGACTTCTGAGAATTTAAGTGCATTCCAGGTCAATTTTATTCCAAATTTGCAAGTCAATTTGTAGGACAAAAGAGTGATTAATCTGTCAGATATATGTACCTCAAACAAAGTTCTTTATGCCTTGTAACACACTCTGTAAATAAAGGCTATTAAGATGACTTATGAAGTCCAGAAACATTGCTTGACACTATAGAAGTGTAATTAAAATTAAAAAAATTGTATGGTTCAAACAGCTTATACAATTATATTTTAAATAATACAAATACCTTTTAAGTCTCTACCAACAGACTGTGTCGAGTCAGCTCAGCTTGAGGAACTCAGTAACTGATTGAAGGTTAGTGGATGGACCTCAGTGCCCTAAGATACCGTTGGAGTCCAACTAGATTATTTGAAGCTCTCATCCAGTTACAAAATTCAAAAGTTTCTTTTCATTGCAGGAAAAAATATGATGTGGAATGTATCTCTTGTCTCAATCAAGTTTAGGATTTTATATGAACTAGACAGATGAAATGTATGTTAAGGATATTTCTGCTTCTGTTTCTGATACATATTAACTTCTTGGCAAAAATAGAATTCCAAAGATCAATTTTGTTTTACTTTTTAACTGGAAATGCATAAAACCTGAAAACCTTCTTGTTTGTTCCCAATCACCAAGATCATATTTAATTATTTCTGATAGTGATAGATTAATTAAAAGCAAAAACAAGCTCTGGGAATAATGTCACGTTTTAGATGTTTATTTCAGCTAATTTGTGCAAATTCATGCAAAAAAATTTGTCTGCTCACTACCTAAAGCATCCAATTCTCCTTGAAGACAGAATACACTTTTGGACCTTATTTATATTTTTAACTATTAAAATCATCCAGCATACATTGTCTGAAACATCCTATCATAAATCTCTATTCTCAGTTGCTTTTCATCATTTATAACCCTTATTAAACTTGCCACTGGATTGTATCTTAGTTTCTACGTCTAGACAATGGATTTTTAGCAGACTTTCCTTTTGCAGCCAATCTGTTTGATGTGGGAGCCAGAGCTGAAGGCAAGAAGTGTGACTGTCTTCAATTCAAGAAGAAGATGCTTTATTCACGGAAGGAAACGAGAAAAGTAGTCAGGAAAGAAGTGGCAAAGTGGAAGAGATAATTTTGGGAACATAGTAGAACCAGGCAGAAAAGGCTGTGATTTCTGCAGGAACTCTTTCAGAATCAAGAATCAGAAGTAAGATCCCTCACTTCTTAATGTCAGGAAACAAATGTGGAACAAGCAGGTGAGGGACACCACTCTATAGCTACCACTCTACTCTAGTTCAACAGAGCTGCCATCTTGCCTTTCTTCTTGTTTATTAATTCTTGCAGCTAACTAGCCAAGCTTGTCATACTTTTATCAACCAGTGAAAATTAAAGACAGAATCAGTTTAAGATGGGGTTGCCTCCCACTATTGTTCTGAAAAATTACTCTTGGTTATATCTTTTTGTCCAGTTCATGCATCAAAAATCATTGGAGGTTTTGACTGTTGAAGTAAACTGTGTTTTTTTCACAGTCACTACACATACACACACACACACACGAAGTGATTATAAAATTCATATTTATTTTTTAGGTTCATTCTGTTTAGAAAGATGACCATACACAGCTTTTTAATCAACAAATTTGACATATGCTTATACTCAAATTCATGTCTGAAGTCTGTTGGCAAAATTATATTTTGTTTCTCTCTACTTTATAAGCTCTGCAGAAATAATGCTGGAGGAGAGGAATCCAACCCTTTTTCTAGTTCTTTTATCCACAGAAATTTCTCAGTTCTGATATTTATTGTTGGTGACAGTACATGAGATAGGCAGAACAGAGCTGATTTTCAGAGTTCAGTCTGAAACTGCTAGGCCGAAAGTGCTTTTTTTTGTATGCTGAAGAAATGCCTCTGGCAGTGGTAAATGCATCATTCATGATGGGTGAGAGGGTGGGACAACTGTGCTTCAAAATTAACCTTTCATGTGAAGTTCCTGCTCATCTCACACAGACTCACCATCCTGACTTCTAATCTTCCCATAAATGGGTAAGTGCTGCCCTAGGTGAAGGGAGTGAGGGGACGTGGGGGGAGTGTGTGCACGCACAAGTATTTTCATACTGCAATTCACGTAATTTTTTCCATCTCCTCAGTCACATTTTCACCAACCTTATTTACTGTGCTGGCCACAGGATATAGTAGAGAGATTTCACCAAATTTTCTAGTTGTTTAGTAAAAGTCTTCCTTCTGTTTTTTTTTTCTTTCTAATCTGGATGTTTACCAGGTCTTACAACATGGAGTTAGTATGTGGGAAAGCAGCAGTTCTTAGTTCAGAAGCTTTGGTGCTAAAGTGCTGATTTAGCACACTAAGGAGTGGCTCAGTAAAGAAAAGAAAATCAGGTAAGAGATGAGACAGGTACTAATCACTTTTTGGCAACATCTAAAGAGCTTGTGTCATCCTAAGTAAACTTCCATCTCATCCATATTTCATTCACGAAGGTGGTCACTTTTCAGCTTTTATATAGCTCTACCCTGTCTATCTAGCCCTGTAATGGTTTTTCCTGACACATTTGTTGCTTTCCCAATGTCCAGCAGGCATCTCAAGCAGTTCAAGAAAAGTATAGCTACTAATAAAACCTCTCTTGCCCCATAATATTTAATTCTTCCTTAAATACCTTCACAGCTTTAAAGATGATTGGTTTTGCATTCCATGATTTGTATGATTTTGCCTCTCTTTGTTTATCTGCTCTCGCCTCCACTCACGATGCCTTATCCTCTTTTCTTTGGTAGTGATGATGGGATGCAGTTTTTCTCTTTGTCGCAGAGTTGCCACAATGATTTCTGTTGTTATCAAATTCTCCAGTTATCAAATTCTCTAGAATTTGATTTCTCTGTCATGGTGCCTTCCAAAATGGTGAATAACATGGGCAAAGACAAAGGAACAGTGAGAACAATTTATGAAACCCCGTTTATTTCTTATATTTAGAAAACATGGATTAATCTTAAAAGCTATTAATCCTTTTGACTGTGGTACTCTAAATTTGTCTTCTTCACTAGACATCAACAACCTTGTTGTTTTCCTATGGTTTGTAGAAAATTATAAGATATTGCCAAAATACAGATTAAAAATAGAATAGTAGAACTGAAATTGCTTTGGTGAATCCCACGCCTCTTGAATAATTGTATTCTGATTTGTCCATATTCATCTCTTTCAGAAACCATAGTATCACCATTCCTGGCAAAGAATGCTTCCTTCCTTCATTACAGCTGTGAAGACAGGGTTTGTACTTGGGTGGAAAAATAATGAAATGGGTTCTTCAGTTGGTATAGTCTCCATTTTTTGAACTCCCAGAAAGCATTAGACTTGTCACCAGCTGAAGGGGGAGGATATATAATAAATTTTTCATTAGGGTTTATGTCCTTTGAAATGGCAAACAGCGCCCTTTGCAGTAGCTGGAACTTACGTAGCATAATGTGAGTAAAATCAGAATTTTCCATGTGCCCCTTGTGCTGGCCAAGCATTTAACAGGCAGCAGGCAGGGGTAATAGAGCACTGCTTTCCTTTGAGTGTGGTTCGATGATATGGGATTAAAGATCTACCTTGAAGAGTATGTGAGGCTTAGGATATAAGAAGAGGGTTGGGAGCTGAGAGCAAGGAAGTTGAAGCACATGATTCATTGGTCATTGCACTTTGGCAGATCAGCCCGTAAAAGGTTATTAAAGACATTGTAGATTTGAAGCCCTGTGTGTCCTTTAGTCCCTCTTACCTCATCCACCAGACCTCTACCCAGTCATGGCTCTGCAGAATAGTTACTCTGCATGTGATATTAAAATCTCACATAAATTTCTCTCTGTTAATAAAATTGGTGATCAAGTATCCAGAACAGATATAATTCTCCAAATTCTTTTAAAAACAGGAGAGGAAAAAATACTTCATTAATCCCATCACTATTTCTGAAAATCTTCTCTCTCTAACATCATCAGCATCTCATAGGTCTCAGTGGCGCAGGTGGGTACCAGTCCTAGTTTGCCTTGAAAAAAGTATGCATTTAATCTAGGACTTGCAAATTTAATTGTAGTGGTGTTTAATGCATGAATTGACTATGTGGAGCAGCTGTCCTTTCTGTGTAAGGATTGCAGATTACACTGATTACAGATACATCAGCCTTACTTCTATTGCTTGAAGGTACAACCTGATCTACAGAAAGCAGCACTGGTCACTGTTATTTTAGATGTGTAATATTTAGCAGAACAATGTAAGGGTTAAAACACAAGTTCATGCTATTTTAATAGAAAAAAATGCATTACATTCCTGTTATATTCCCCATGGCTAGATTTCCCTGGGAAAAGGTAGACAACAATGGTACATTGTTATAAGAAACTTAAAGTGTTTTAAGATGGAGGTTGATAAGTTTATGGATAGGGATCCCAAAACAAGATAAGAATGACTCTGAAGTTAGAACTAAACCTTGAGATAACTGTTCTTTTGTATCCAATTTATTGGTAGTGCTGATTCCCAAATGCATGTTGGAGAGGAGATTCTGTGTGTTTGCAATGCTTTAGCCTCCCGTTACAGGATTTCTGTTTCTTATCTCTGGGAGTCAGGGTGCTGGGCTCAGTGCTCAGTGAGAGACACTGCTGTCGCTTCTGGCGTTAAAAGCTCTTGGAACATCTTAGGATCTTTTGGTCAATTTACTTCCAATTCTTGCTGCTGTAAGGATGTTGGGAAATGACCACTCAGGCTTTCTTCTTATGGTACCCCAGAGGTACATCTTTAGTCCTTTTCCTTTGTGCCTCAGGTCTGTGGGCCGTCAGGAGTGTGTAGGCTGAGGTACGGGTTTGTTCACGGAGGAGCTGCATGGCTCTTTTAAAACAAATATTTGTTGCAGTGGTTCTTGTATTGCCTGGGACATCATTCAATGACCTAAGTAGTCTTTTTACTCTGTTACTGTGTTCTAGACTGTGCTAAGACCTGAACCCAGACAACGAGAAGCAGTGCTTGTAAGCTTGTAAAGCTGCTGTTTGTGCCTCTCACCTGCTTAGGGCTCTTCTTTCTTGGCCAAATTAAAGATTTCTCAAGAAATCCCTACTGAGCATTTTGTGAATGTTGAATATGTTAAAAGAGCTGTTTTTTGCTCCGAGTACAAAGCACATTTTTCATTTTTCCTCTTTGCACGTAGATGTGGGAAGTGGTGCAGCTCCTACCCTGGGAGACAGGCATTCCCTTTTTTGTACTTCCCAGATCAACAGCATGACTTGGTCTTTAAAAAAGACAAGTACAAGCATGCTGGTCAAATCACATTACAATTAACTAAGAAGTCCAATGTGGTATAGGTCTTTATTAAGATTACTGAAGGTTTTATGAGATATACAAGATTGCAGAGGAAACCCTTTCAGAAAATATCATATATATTAATGAAAATACAGCAAAGTGCTCCCACCAGTGCATTCTGCTGTGTAGAATTCTTTAAACAGCATTTCTGCTCTGAGAAAAAAATCTCTGAACATGATAGACTTTTACTTAGCAAATCCATTTCTTTGTCTGTAAGGATTTTATCTGCACATACAAGTGACAAAAGTAATTTAACTTTGTTTTTTATTCCAGCTAGACAGGCTAATTATGTATTAGGTAATAAGCTGAATTCTGCTCCTTTTTATACATGGTCAACAGAATTTACTGCATTGCTAGCAAGGATATTTATGTAACTTATGAGAACACTGAAAAAGGAGCAAAGGTTTGGTTTGCTTCAAACAGGCTTCCCATGAGATTATCAATATTCATTGCTTTGATCTCTCCTCAAGGTTCAACATTAAAAGAGGCAAAATCACATAAACAAGACTTTAAAGTTGCTGTCAACTGGTTAATTGATTATTAATTTTTTGAGATCACTTCACTCCTGCAAAGAAAAAATCAGGCAAAATAGCAATCTTTTGTGTGTGGGAACACTGTTCTTCTGCTAACTTTTTTTTTTTTTTGAGAAATATCAAGAAAAAACAGATTGTCTAAGAAAACGTCGTGTACCAGAGTATGTAGGAACCTTTGTGTTCATGTTCTCTAGTCTGGCTGGTGACCAGGAGAGTCTCTTCAGCATTTTGAATGAGGAAAGCTGAAGTTCAGTCTGCCATAGAGGTGTTACGTTCTTTTTTTTTGACCTTCCTGGGGCGAGAGGCTTCCTAGAGTGTCAAACAACCAGAACACTTAACCAGAACAGTTAACACCTAGAGTACATTCCAACTAATCTACTATAAGCATTGAGAAACTGGCATGTAAGCTAGTCTTCCTAGCCTCCTCTTAACGTCTATGAAAAAATTTAAACACCCCAGAAGGTGATCTATGTCATTGATAGGTGAGATAAATTGTCTTCTGGAGAGGACCATTTACCTTCTGTTGACTCTTCGTAAAAGAGCCAAAGTAAACTAACTTAGCTTTGGACAGCCAAGTCCTAGATGCCTGAAGCTTAGGTAGGATGAATACTGAGCTGGACTCCTAAACAGGGTAGTTTCATTCAGATGCTTAAATTTACTCATGGAACTCTTAAATGTAAATTTAGATCCACCTTAAGGAGATTTCCAGAAAACTGTAATAAGACATGCAGTAATATGCAACATATTGATAGCATCAATGCATCAGTCTCAGGACATAATTTCTAATTACATGAGTGTTTCAGACGTGTTGCACACACAGAGTGAAATAGTACATTTTTTAGAGCAGTTTTTTCTAAAGCAAAGGATGTGTTTGGCACTCATTTGAAGGAAAGTGTTCCAATGACGTAGAATCAAATTGGTTCTCTGGATTTTGCAAAGATCAAATAGAATCCATTAAAACATTATTGATTCCAACTTTGTGCTGAAGTACTGTCTGTGAGAGCTTTGTCATTAGCTCTCTGAAACAGCTGATTAGAGTCTGACATGAGTTATGAGCATATAGAAGCTACCAAATGGTATTAGTGTGCATAGTGAAAGGCATAGGGCATTAGCAGGGGTTGGACTAGATGATCTCCAGAGCTCGCTTCCAGCCTCAGCTATTCCAGGGTTCTGTGATAACTGCACTTCTGGCGCCCATGCACTTGCCTCTTTCCCCGTGCGGTGACTTCTAATTGCTTTGTCTGTCCTATTGTTGCAATTTCTCTGTTAAAAACAAAACAAAACAAACCAAACCAACCAACCAAACAAACAAACAACAACAGGAAAAACCACCAAAAAAATGCCAGCAAAACCAAACAACTGAAACTAGGTTTTAAAGTGTGTTAAAGAAGCCTTTTACTTTTATGTCAAAGAGACAAATTTGGCAAGTGCCTGTGTTACGTTTGAAAAAAAAAGTAAGGAACAATCAGCTTCAGAATGGCATCCTTTACAGGCTGACTAACCAGCCTGCAGTGATGGACTGGTCTGTGCTTTCCCTACCAGATGGGAACACAAACATCCATATCAATGAACACACGCCAAATTGAGTGGAAACAAACCCTAAGGACAGAACTGTGTAGTGAAGTTATCTACCCGCACAGCATTACAACGATTGATCTACTGGTGTATTATAAGTACTAAATTGACACTTTTCATTGATCAAAATCAGACATTCCACTGATGGAGCACAGCATGCACTTTTCCTTTTAATTTATGTATTGCTTTATGTGGTTATCAAAGTGATCATCTTTTTTTGGAAGGGATAATAAAGACAATGGTATGGAAAATAAGGTATGATATGTTATGTTAAAGGATATTTTTGCTATTTTCTTTTTCCTCTAAGTACACAGCTCATTTTCATAAGCTCCAGCATATGCAACAGTCCTTATTTTAGTTTAAAGTTTTTCAATAATTTAGAATCAAATCATAAAACTCTCAGCACACACGATCAAAATCAAATTTAAATAGAAGAGCAGTATCAGTATTTTGAACATTTCTTCAGTCTTTTCAAGTTCGTTTTTCCCAGTAAGAGGATGTTTCCAATGTTGACTTATAAGTGAAAATAATGAATTCCACATCATTCAAGATGTAGGATTTGAAGATAGGAAATTGTTTAGTATTCTAATTTCAGACTCCTGAAGCAAGTGCTCACAGTCTGATTCATCTATATGCAACAGTACTCATTCAAACCATCCCTATGAATTTTTTGTCCAGTTTTAACCCTGCAGCAATGCTTGTCATTTCCTAAAGAATCGAAGAAAGTTGATGAATAATACTATGGAAGTTTTATATCCTGAAGTCAAAATATAAAAGAATTGTTTTGATTGAATGGATTTCCTTTGGATTTTTTCTGCTTTACCATATGGTGTTTTTAGATGAGTCAAATCGACGATTGAAGAGTAAGTATCATCTCTTAACATTACATGCATATGATGACATGCTGCCAAAATTCAAACTCTCTGACTGCATTACTGCATACTGTTAATGGAGCTTCATGTCACAGAGATCATCAATCAGATGACAGATGATTGGAATTAGAACTATGCAAATGAATGCAATAGATGTGTATCATAAATGTTTTGTTATTTCTGAGTTTGCCACAAGAAAATATCCTTTTTGACAGAATTAATTATTTTGTCCGAAGAACAAATCTATCATTGACAAAATTTGAAACATTTACCCTAGCAAGATATATAATTTCAAATCACAAACCTTGTGTCTGTACAACTGACTGTATTATATTATTTTGGCAATATGCTGATTGCCAGGCGTCTGACAATGTACTATAAGCAATCCTGACTAAATAGCCATGAGTCACTGAAGGAAACTTTTTCTTTCAGTTTGGAAAAGCACAAACTGTTTTCTTTTCTTTTCTTAGGGCATGTATTTTAACTTCTCAATGTGAAATTATCATCATCTCTATCTTGCAGTTCAGGTTGGGAATGTAACGGAAAGAACACGTAGACTCAGCCAAACTCATAATGGTTCTGTTTGCTCTGCATCCACTGTTTTGTACACACAGACCCAAGTATTGGCTTTTTACAGCTAGTGGTTATCTTGGAATGCATGTAAAGAAACCATTCAATATCAAAAAGTTAATTAATAGCACAAGTGTAGCTGCAGATCAACTGAGCTATTTTTGCAGATGCATTTTACTCTTACCCTGTATGTCTGCATGAAGTTTGTAAAGCAATATAGGATCCTTCAGTGTTGAGGCTGCTTGGGTATTCACCAAATCTTCATTAAAAAAGCATTCCCAGTGCCCGTACAAGGCAAGAACTGCTATTTGCAGAGACATGAATGAGCTTTTCCAGCACTTCTCTCTCTTGCATGCCATTTCTCTGCCTGGGTTACAAGTGCAAAGACAAAGTCCCAGAGGCATAACTGGCAAAGAATCGAACTCGGAGCCATATCCCTGGTCTCTAGTTGAAGATGCAGATTGACTTATTTTAAACCATTTATTGAAGTCTCATACTTCTACTGATGAGGTCTTTCTTCATTTTTACATTTATCAGTGATTTTCTGCTCAGTGAGATAATACGCAAACCCATAAGCTTTTCAGAAAAAATTGCAAACAGTTCTGCTTTATTTGACCTGCAAACACGAGCTTAGGCATAGAATTGGTTGGGGTTTTTTACATTTTGTTTTACTTTGTCTTTTCTGCTTTTTACTTTGGAGAGCAAAACATCTGTATTACTTAAGCAACCAATGAATCAAAATCAGATCACACACTGTCTGTAAGAATCTAGCAGGCATAGCAGGTCACCTGCATGTGAAATACATGTGGTAGTTCCTTATTCTGATTTCTGTTGGAGGAGAGGTGTTGAATAGGAACCAGCTTTTGTTTTTATAAGACCAAGATTAGGTTCATGGTTCAGTAATTGGAACAAAAACTGGCAGTTGTTTGAGGAGTTTCCTTTCATGCTTGAACAGTACAAAAAAACCTTCCAAATTTCTAAATGCCCAGGTGCTTTGCAATGGGAGGCATAATTTATACTTCTAACAAGTAGTTCAGTTCAATTCCCTCATTGGCAGCAACATACTGCTGCCAGGTATTTGCTTGGTGTTCTGCAAGGAGCAAGAGGCCCGTTCCCAGCACAGAGGTGTCCTCAGCTCCCAAACTACCATTTTTATCACACGTGGCATCAATCTGGGCAGCAGCAAGTGAAGCCAGAACATGAGAGTGACATAAATTTCTCATTCTACCAGTGTTCTTTTCAAGCTAAGTCTGAGACACATTAGAAATGGGAGAAAAACACTGCTGCTTCTCCCTTCACTCAGGCAGTTGCAGCTGTAAATGCAATGAGCACAGAAGGCCCACAGAGACTATTATAAAATTTCCCTTAAGTCTCAGTTTGGGCAGAGTGAGACTGAAAAGAATGTCATTTAGCCCCGTGCCTCAGAGCACAGCACAGTTCCAGCCTAAGGAATGGAGTTTGCAGTTGTCCTCTGAAAACAATGTTCTCCTCCTGACCACAACCCATGGAACAGTGCATTACCATCTTGGATGGGATCTTTCAGCTGAGAAGCAGAACGGAACACTAGAAATTCTTATCTTATTTTGTTGTTTTATTGTGGGTTCTGTTTTGTTTTGTTTTTTCCCTCTCCCATCTTCATCCAAATTAAACCCAGAGAAGTCACTCCTATAGGAAAAAAAGTGCTGCTATCCTGCTTTCTGAAAAGAACTCGGCATTGCTATTCTGGACTAGACAAAGTAATTTGAGGAACTAGTCAAAGCTAGAACTAATTTTTAATTGAAAGAAGAAAACAATTCCTTCTTCCTTGGTGACAGGATTACTCCTCCCTCAAAATGCTGAAATGGCTTTCAAGGAAAATGCATCTTCAGGAAGATTATGGAAATTATAAAGATATTTGACTTTGCTGACAGCAGAGTCACAAGAAAAAAATAAATAAAAATATCCTAAGCAGCCTGTGTGGTAACTGTAAACACAAACAGAGTAGGCTTCTCATCACTATCAGTCCTCCTCTTGCCAACTGATCAATCTGGTCACCAGAAAGGTCCTCTCATGTGATTTCTGTTTGAAGTGTTGAGGTGTTTTCTGACTATTGACAATGGTCTCTTTGTACACTGAGCAGACCAGGGTATACTCACAGTCAGTCAGCTGATAGAGAAATTTTTTTAAAGCTTTTTTCTGGAAAGCTGGATGAAAAGTTATTGTTAGAATTTTGTAAATAAATTATTTTTTCCTGTTCGACACAAAAAAGGAAAGAAAAGAAAAACTAATCATGAAATGAGTGACATTTGAAGCTTAAATAAATATATTCTAACCCCCGCAAAATTTCCTGAAGCATGGCTTAATTGAAGAAAATAACGATAATTCTTCCAGCAGTATCATGTGCTTTTCCTCTTTCCAAAAACAGAAGCTTCATTTGCTTTCTCTATTGACCCCAATCTAATTTTTCTCTAGTAGGGCACAGGGACTATGAATTCAAATGGACCAAAGAGGCCAAAGACTGTTTTGGTGTCCCTCACCTCTCATGGGGGGGAGGAAATGAGTGACACTGCTGAGAAGAAAATGGTATAAGCACTCTCACTGACCTATACAAGTATCTTTTCACAGAGTCAAAAGATATTTAGCAGTGAAGTCTGGGTAGTGCAAAAATCTTGCATCCCCCATTGCCAAGGAGAGCGTGCAGTCAGGAGGGTGAGGGTACGGATACACGCCAGCCCTCCCACTGGACCTGCATCTGTCTTAGGACTATTTAGCAAACAGACAAAGTTAGCTGGGAACAAATGCTGCTCTTGCCCACAGCATGTCTCTTATCCCCACCCGATGAAAGGAATCCTGCCCTTGGCACCAGACTGCCAGGAGCATGGGATCACTTCCCTCTGCTTGTTCCTCAGCCTGTTGTAGTGCCAGCCAGAGCAGAAGTCAGTCTATGGAATACAGATTTTGGAAACTAAGCAGAAGTAATTCAGCACTTTGCCTCCACTTTCCAGCAAATAGGTCTTTCTAAAGCATGTTTTTTAACTTTAAATTTTGCCTTAGTGTCTGGTCAGCAGAAGATTTCATTTGTTCAAGATATTGAGAAGTCTTTTTGACCTCAATTAATGCTTTGAGGAAATAAGCTAGAAAGCATATGAACCATTATTTTACCCTCACAGGGACATATATATATGTTAGAAACATGTGCTTTGCTAAAATGGTCTTGGAGCAGTTTCTACATGCCTCTGTCCCCACTTGGATCATTGTTGCCATTCCTTCTGTGCTGGCATTCCAGAGCTGCTGATTCACAGCCTACGTCTGGTTCTGTAGCGTTCTTGCCAACTCAAAGCCTCATGGATTATTTGGAGACTTGCTCAAGTCATTCTCCCTGTCACTGACTGGTTTGTGTATTATAAATACATTTCTGCAGGGACTTTCCTCACTATATTTGATTAGCTCATTTGATTTATCAGAAATGAAGTGTTTTCTTTCCTTCTTTCTTTCATTCCTACTTCCTTTGCCTCAGTTTTACCATTGAGAATAAGAAGAGAGTTGCTGATTCTCATACAGAGGCCTGCTGACTTCAGAAAGTCATGGGGTAGATGAGGATATCTGCTTAGGAAGAGTGACTGGACAAAGGACCAGGATCCAGCTCTGTGAGCTGTCACTGGTAAAAACGAAAACTGAGCTTTCCAGATGTGTTAATGTGGACAGTCACTTGGGATTTTTAAAACTTAGCATTGAGATGTTTGTAGACTGCCATACACTCCAACTGCTTAGTGTGTATCTATGTTAATTAATTTATAATTGCTCACAATATTGAATTCTTCAGTCATGTAGACTTGGCATCAAAGATAATCTGTGAAATCAGATAGCAGCTGAATTCAGCCTAATGTGTATAAAGGATGTAAAGAGGCTGGGAACAGTAGAACAATGACTGTGCTTTGTTACATACATGTTAGGGAGGATGCCCTTCTTCAAATTCCTGCACTGAACCATGTGAAAAGCTATATGCCTTGCCATCCTATGGAGCTCATTTCCACTCCATCAAAAGTGGCCAAGGTTCCATCCTGCTGAAATAAATCAAAATTTGCAAGTAATTTCAGTGTATCTAGGATTACTTCCAATAAAATATATCCCTTGCCTTAACCAAGGCTGTTTTTAAATCTCCTCCAATTTCAGTGGGAGTTCCTAATTGAAAAAACTGCTTAGGGCATGAGTGGCTTTTATAGATGAGGTTTCCTCCACCATAATGTTTAATATGGGTACAGCTGGGCAGTCCTCTTTGTTGATGCGCTTTACAACTCTCATTTCCAGCTTCACTAGGCAGAAATAATTTCCAAGGGTGGGATGCGAATTTAGTGTCCATGGCCTTTCAGCCTTTTTCTGTTGGAACTCAGTTATATTGCCAGTGTGGTTGGGATGTCAGTGGTAGGGGCAATGTGCACTGGGAACAGGATGGACAACATCCTGACCTATTCCAGTAAGAAGCTGTTTATACACTGCTTTCAGTGAATGCTGGCTGTTGTTCAAAAGCCAAAAGCAGCTGTCTTTCAAGAAACCTGCCTATAAACTAACACAGAAAGCCACCATTATTGACTTATAATATCAGTCAAGTTATATTTTGAATGGATGGAAATAGGCTAGACATTGGAGATGGGCTGGAGTGGTCGTTGTCTGTAGCACTAATAAGCAAAACAATCCACAACATACCTGTGTTCCTGCAATTGGATGTTCTCAGCTGCCCCCATTTCACAGCAAGATTTGCAACACCAGGTTTTTTTCCTCCAACCCATCATCCTTGGACCCTGACAGTTATGTGGGAATTTTCACTTTCAGGGATTTTCTTGTGAAGAAGCACGTCTCAAGTCTTTGAAAAAACTGCTGAGTGTACACCCCACTGGCTCAGAGCCAAAGGGCACAGTCTGTGGGTGTTTTATTTGTTTTCAGCCACTCATGATTTTTTTGAACACTTGAGTTCCACCTAAGGAAGGAGAAGTGTATGGTCAGATGCATCCTTCAAAAATGCAGGGTGTTAATTCCAAGTTAACTAAAGCAGGAGGAAAATTTTAGAGATCCTTGGTCTGGTTCCCATAAGCTTTGCACCTCTGTGCTGCCCTGCCTCCTCTCTCTGTCTTTCTCTCCCCTGAGCACAAACCCTCAGGAGCTTCAAACTGCTCCGTGTCTCACACTGCAGCAGCAGAGTGGCCACTGTAGCAGGACAAACCTCCCTGCTGACAACCAGGCACCAAAGCTCCATTTCCAGTGGGGCCCTGGCCAGCTAACCCAGAGCAAGCTCAGAAACCTGCACTGCATTGCAGACAGTAGCTGAGTTTCCATGCACAGCCTTTCCCTACCTGCAGGAGGGAGGGAGAGCCGAGTTCAGATTTTCATCTTCCTTCTAGACATTTTCCCAGAGCAGGATGTGAGAGGAGGCATTATGATTTCCATTGCAGGCATCATCCTGGAGGTTTTCAGTCTAAATTATTTAAAGCAATTGTGACATTACGCCCCGAAATAATGTCTCTATCAGCAGATGGAGCTGAGCTGAGGTCACAATGATCCCATTTGCCATATCCTGAATAAAAGCCTTCAAAATGAAACTAAAAAAAACAAGGTACTCAAGATGCTTCACCAGTACTGAAAACAACCCAATTTAGAGCTGGCTGTGACTGGTGAGACTGTGTCTTCCAAACAGGTATAAGTTACAGAATTCAGTGCTGCTACCCCATGCAATAGCCCCTCTTTGAAGTGCCTTATATCCCTTGTGCCTACACAGGGAATGATGGCCCATGAAGGCCTGCTGCACATCCTTCATGATGACCAATCCTTTTCCTCCCACAGAGTGACAGCTGCTCTCAGACAGTGCAGCTCCATTGCCAACCAGTGCAAAGTCAATATTCTGGCAGAAAGTCAGAGTTTTGTTCTGAGTATCTTTTCCCCTAATCTCTGTACTTTTCTGACTACAATTCCCTTTCCTGTACTTTCACTGAAGCCTTCTCAAGCCTGGGAGATGGCCAAACAGCCACATTCACAGTGAATTGACAGAAATTTGTACCAGGAAATGGAGTGAGAAGGACAGAGAACAGCAAAAATTAATCCAAAATTACTAACAAAGAGGAAAAACTAAAGTTAGGTGTCAAACATATCATCACTAGAAATCTTCTAATAGTTATGATATTGGTATTTTGAAGATATTTGAGGCAATAAGTACATAAATGGAGGTAGATGCTAAGTCACTGTAAGAATATATAGTAAGGACCACATGAGAAAGGCCACTAAGTCCAGTGGCATGGATATAATTCACTTCCAGGCACTGTGCCAATCCAAGGCCCAATCTCTGCCAAATTATTTTGAGCCTGATCTCTGTGGTTGCTGCTGAATCTGTTTTTTCCATCTTACTGTACCAGGGCATTCAGCCCCAGTAGACACATGAAACTGAACTAGCAATTTATTTGAGGGAATGGGCTTAATGTTCCTGACAAGATGGAAAGTTACCAGCTGGGTTATCTTCTGCATCTCATCCAAGTCAAATATTTTCACCATAATGTCTATTAGACCAAGCATAAATGAAAGGTAGACCTTCCCAATATCCACAAAGCTCTGTAGCAATTGAGAAGCCATATATTGTGTCATTTTTTTCTATTCAAACAGTCTGTATCTACTAAAGCATAAAGTCTTGACAGGTTTCCATAAACTGGTGAGTGCAATTTTAATAGTGTTTTTATACCAATAATTTCATAATTGAAAGTTTTTTGTTCAGCTGATCTGACAGAGCTGGATGTATTATAGAAAGATGGATGGGATGTCTCACTGAAACTTCCAGGTTAAATGTAGAAGTCTTGTTAGAAAGGGCAGTGTCTGAAGATATCTCCAACAAAATTGTTCTTGCTACTGAGAGAGTTCTTTCAGGATGGTCTGCTCTGGGATCATCACTGGCAGCAGTGTCAGACGCCCAAGTGTCAGAAAGATTCATTCTATTCTTGCTACAGTTTCAGCATGGAGCATCGTATGCAAAATGAGTCCTAATTCCAATTAGATTATTTTTTTTCTCGTATACCAATATCTGGTAAAGCTTTTGTGCTTGTTACTTTGCTTACTGCTTAGGCTTGTTGCTTGCCTCTTTCTGTGGATCTTTGCTGAGACCACAACTTCTTCTCTATGGAGTATTCCTTATAATTATCTTGTCACTCTTATTTGTAGGGAATGAAGGAAGGCATTATGTTCCTGAGAAATCATGTTTATCATCACTTGACTTACTCTGTGGAAGGGTTTTTTTGAGACCATCAGCAAAAAAGCAATTACATAGCTGGATTCAGTGTATCATCTAACCCATCTCTTTGGTGCCTTTACTTATATAAAACAATTCTTGTTTCCTATGCTTGCCTGATATAAAGGTGTAGGATTAATTTACTACTGCTAAATCTGAGGTGGAAAATGAAAATGTAAATTCCCATTGAAAGGGAGCTGTTACATCTGTGTTAGCTCTGTCAAAAAATGAATCTTCAATGCAGAGTACTGATGCACATTTATGTTATTTTTTCAGGTCTGAGATTGTATCACCAGAGCTCAAATGTCACTTACAGAGGTCCAAATTAATTGCAGTTGTGGTGATTAGTTTCATGATAATGATAATCCATATCTATCAGGATTTGACTTGAGACAAAATGTGCATTTTTATACTTCCAAGCAACTAAAAGATACCCTTTGATGAGCTCTGGCCTGTGCTGTAAGCAGACAAATGCCCTCAAGGCAAGCCTCTGTACCCTACTGCAATGATTCTGTTTAATATCTTTATCGATGATTTAGATGAGGGGATTGAGTCCACCATCAGCAAATTTGCAGATGACACTAAGTTGAGGGGGAGTGTCAATCAGCTGGAAGGCAGGAGGGCTCAGCAGAGGGACCTGGACAGGCTGGAGAGTTGGGCTGATTCCAGCGGGATGAGGTTCAACAAGGCCAAGTGCTGGGTCCTGCACTTTGGGCACAACAACCCCATGCAGTGCTACAGGCTGGGGGACAGAGTGGCTGGAGAGCAGCCAGGCAGAGAGGGACCTGGGAGTTTGGATTGACAGGAAGTTGAACATGAGCCAGCAGTGTGCCCAGGTGGCCAAGAAGGCCAATGGCATCCTGGCCTGGATCAGGAACAGTGTGACCAACAGGTCCAGGGAAGTGATTCTTCCCCTGTACTCAGCGCTGGTGAGGCCACACCTGGAGTGCTGTGTCCAGTTCTGGGCCCCTCAGTTCAGGAAGGACATTGAGGTGCTGGAGCAGGTCCAGAGGAGAGCAACAAGGCTGGTGAAGGGACTTGAGCACAAGTGCTATGAGGAGAGGCTGAGGGAGGTTGTTCAGCCTGGAGAAGAGGAGGCTCAGGGGAGACCTCATCACTCTCTACAACTACCTGAAAGGAGGTTGTAGCCAGGTGGGGGTTGGTCTCTTCTCCCAGGCAGCTATCAGTAATACAAGAGGGTACAGTCTTAAGCTGTGCCAGGAAAGGTTTAGATTAGATATTAGGAAGAAATTCTTTATGGAAATGGTAATCAGGCATTGGAATGGGCTGCCCGGGGAAGTGGTGGATTCTTCATCCCTGGAGGTTTTTAAGATGAGACTGGATGTGGCACTTAGTGCCATAGTCTAATAACCGCGGTGGTAGTGGATCAAGGGTTGGACTTGATGATCTCAGAGGTCCCTTCCAACCTGGCTGATTCCATGATTCTATGATTCTATGACTCTATGATTCTATGATTTTGAGTCTTCAGAAGTCTCTAAACCAGACACTTAAACTATACCAATGTTGTCTATATCAAGAGAAACAACAAGGTAAAGCAGAAGGGCAAAAAACATCCAGGGGCAGTGGCCAAATCTAAAGGAACAGCAAATCTAAAGGAAAAAAGTCAGGGATTGGCGAGGAGCTTGGGAGGACAGATCTGCGAACCATTCACCAGGAGGGAAACAAGGACAAACACTTTGATATATGAGAAATAAAAATGCCTGAAAGTGGGATTGGCTGATGGCATCTGATTGCTGTCCCCAGCCACAGTCAGGCATTTCTCCAAAGCACCAAGACAGTCTGACAAACTGCTTATCCCAGCGGCTTGCCAAAGGCTGAGCTCCAGCAGGAAGACTGCCGGCGCCAAGGAAACTGCAAAAGAGGCTGTTAATTTTCATTCTCAAGGTTTGTTCAATGTTTACCCACATCCATCTTCTCTTTCTGGGCAATCTTTTCCTCCCACCCCCCTTCCCAACCCGCATACAGTGACACAAGCCTTCTGCAGAAAGGACCCTGCACTCGCCTCTCAGCCGTGACCCTGAGGGACAGTGGTTATCGTGGCCATCAAGGCTGTGCTGGTGCACACCCCCACAAACACTGATGGTGCCAGCTCCTGCAAATAAGGAGGCTGGTTATGGAAATGAAGAATGGAATATATGATTTCTTGGTGGGCTCACTTTATTACCCTTCCTGAGCCTTAGCTTATACTTCGCTTTCCAAGATGCATATGATACTGATTATCTCTAGAGCACAAGCAAAATGTTAAATCAAATGAAACTCAGAAAGTTTTCTTTCTGAAATTCTTCATTTTGATCATATTCCTGACAAAATACCAAAACACACCACTGATTCCAACTGTGTGGCAGTCTCCTGTGCTTAAGCAACAGCTATTCCCATAGTAATGACCCAAATGCTTTAAGCTTTAAATCAGGCATTTTTTGAAACTGAAAATTATGCCTGCTCTACTGCTGACATCAATGGAACACAAACTACTTAATCTAAAGAATAAAACAAGCTTTGAACTCTTAGAAGATGCCAAACTTCAGATTTGTCTATGCTATATAATCTCCATTCAGATTTTTGATGTGGCTGGTTTCCTTTATCTGTGTATAAACAGACTTTAAGAGAATGCTTTATCACACTGAGACGCGCAACTATAAACAGAATGAAAACTTTCGAGCCTTATGAAATACGTATCTCTAAAACTAATATTACTCTTAAGATGATGCCATCTTTATTTTTAGAAAATGCTATTGAACCTGGAAGTGCATTTGTTTAGGTGATTTGATCCCATTTTATCCCCAGCTTCAATTATATAATCAAACACATTAAAAAAATTATCTCTGTTTTCAACTTGAATTCTTTGATGATAAAAATTGCTTTATCCTTGAAAATTAATAAAACAGAAGGCCAGTTTACAAAGCATGCTTCCTACCATACACTCAAGAAACTGGACCATGATAGCTTATGTCACAAGGCTGGGATTTCGCAATATGGTTGTTGGTGTCTGCAGAAAGCGGTAACCTAGTGAACCAATTTGCTCTATTGCTATAAAAAAGCCATGATCCCATCCCATTTGTGTATATGGTATCATCTCAACCTTTTATGGAACTAAACACTTAATTGGGCACCAAGTTTTGTTGGGCCCTG